GAAACTAGTTCCCTTAATATTTTACAGTGATTCTCTCCTTAGCCTTTCGGCAGCAAAAGAAAACATCTTCTCTACCACTGTCAGTAGGAGTGTTTTTGTTTTGTTGTGTTTGTCTTTACACACACAGTTTTTTGACTGTTTACTAAAAGAAAGACCAGAAATTACATTTGCCATTATTACCTCAAAGACTAGATGGGTGGATAAGCCAGAGCATGGTTTGAAGGAGAATGTTATAATGGGTTTGATAACTGGGTTTATCTCTCAAACATCACACTGCATCTTTCACACTGGAAGATAGTTTATGAAATGAAATCCAAGCTTATACTGTTATTCCATAAAGCTGATAGTTGGGGATTTGATTAAGATCTCAACACACAAACAGCACCAACACTGAACTCTTCCCTTTCAGCCTGAACTCCAACTCATTCTGCATCCTACAAGACATTTCCTATCCTAAGGGAGAAGTACTCCATGCTGCCATGTTGCTCATACTCCACAGGAGGGGAACGGCCTGGAAGACACACTCATGCTTCGGAAACTAAGGTTTCCCCATATACACCTTTCCATTCTTAGTTAAGGTCCAAAGCTTAGTTAAGGCCAGACCTCGAAGTCCAAACCACGGTAGTTGCTTGAGTGCTGATGATGCCTTAACACTTCAGCACTGGAAATTATCAGATTCCAATTTTTTTATGAAGGACAGGTTATCAGGAATACTGAACACATTAATTCACAACTGCATTCCTATTTACAAATACATACCAGTACTAGGTAGAAATGTAGCATCTGTGTTTCCAAAAACAGCAGTATTACCACTACTTTACCTTTGCTTCTGGACTCCTCAGGACACTCCTGAGGTACATGTTCAGGCAGGGAAGTTCCCATTTCCTCACCTCTTTCTGTTCCCTGACTGAAAGAGGGGAAATGCCTTCTTTTTTATTTGTGTCTTTGTTTTACTTTGGGGCAAGAAGAGCTGGTTTGTATTGAAGGTCTAAGGGCTGAAAGGACTTTGAGTCAAACTCCCCTGGAAGAGCAGATCGCTACTTTACAATACTGGTACCATACTCTCTACCAGCAGGAATATTACAAGGATGCTTTCCAGTAAGGAAGCACCCTCAGTTTTCAAAAATGCTGTCTCTTCTTCCAAAACCCCAAGCCCTTCTTCCTCCCCACCCCCTTACTTCACAATATAGAAAGGCATGACTAATTCCTGCCCTCCATATGCTGCAGCATTGGAAACCACCACAGTATCCTTCTGTATTAGTTCTGCTGTAGAGAACTTCTTGTCATCTGTCCTGCACTAACACCCAGAGCACTGCCGGTACCTGCCTGTCAAAAGTAACAAGGCAAGACAGAGCAGTTTCCCCCAAACTGCCCTATAAAGTCTTGTCTGGGCTTCTGCATTTAGTGCTTAGTAGCACCAAGCATGTGAAAAGACAAAACACAACCTTCCTGAAAATCTCAAGGCACAAAATTTCCTGCCCTTTGGAGCACCTTCAATAGCAACATCTACACACTGCTAAGCTTTGAGGGCAAGGGTTGCCTTTTTCTATATTTTAAACGCATTTCCTTCATTGTAGGACAAAGATGAAAATTTTGTCAACGTGTACAGCCAAGTGCTCTTTGCATGCAGCAGAGGAAGCAGTTTATTCTTCAGGTCCTCCTTATATTAGGGATGACACTGTCAACTACGCTCCACCCATATTCTATGAGCAAGGCTCCTGCTCTACCCCTTCAAAACCAGCCATCACTCCAGTCCCACTGCTTCCCAAATGCGAGAGCAGCTGCCTGGAAGGTGGCCAGGGAAAGGAATGTGCCACACCACCAGGCAAGGAGGAGCAGCCGCCTCTCCAGGGCCACTGGTGGGAATCACAACAGGCAGCTCCAGCTGGCAGCAGTGTACTAAAGGCTGCTGGAGTTTCCCAAGAGCCCAGGACTCCGATCCCTGACTCCAGGGAACCTGCACTCCAATGACACCTCCACACAGACGATACAACACAGGAAGGGGCAAACCCTGGTTGCATCTCCTGACCAAAATTTGAAAGGTAAGGGGGGTCAATTACACATCAGAACCACACTTTACATCAATAACACTTTACTACACATTTTATTACATCAATGGCTTGAAAAAATTTTATTTGATGTCAGCAAACATTGGAAATCATAGAAAAATGAATTATGTAGAATTTCACAAAGGAATTTACCCCACTATAATTCCTCATACAGTAAAATAATCCAAAACCAAATGTTACTTTTCAGTGGCTAAGCAATTTTATAATGCTATGAACATTCATCACAGTAAGTGTGCTGAATAATAGAAAACAGGCAAAAAAGACATTTAAAATATTACTTACAACAGCATTATTACAACATACTTTCTTTAAAATCCCAACGAGTATTTAATCACTTCAAAAGCTATACAGCATTTCCATTATATTTGCAAACTTAACCTTATACATCTTTTAAAATCTTGAAAAAACTTCTTTTAAGCAATCTATAAGCAGTTAACAAAATTGATAAAATCTACATAATGGAATACTATACACTCCAGTATAAATCTTATTTTAGGAGAATATGAATGTAAACACTCATTATTATACAACATGCATAGACTATACTGACCTTCCATCTTCTGAACTGTAACTTTCACTGCAATTGTGCTTTACTATCAACAGGAAAAGCTGCATTAATCCAGGGAGTGGCAGAAAGTATTTGCTTTAGGGGCATTGCACAAGATCACTAGATTTTTTACTTGCTGAAGACAAGCTGGAGCTAATAAAATAATTTTTCTCTTTTTTTTTGTAGACAGTAAGTATCAGGCCACTCATTGCTGAATGGGCTGTGCACAACTTTATACCAATTGGAAAAACACGCATTATCAAAAGAAATCTCCTCTGGTATTTTTGCATTTTGTTGACTTGGAGATTTTTGTTCACAAATCCAGTGATCGAGTTAGTGTAATGCACTGTTTGGCTCATATTTGGTGTGCAAGAATACCAACAGCATATTAGCGATTTCAGAGAATAAAAACTGAAATTTAAAGTGACAATGAGCATATTTTAATACATAATGTTTCTGATGTATTTGTACAGGAAAGAAAAATGTTTGTCAGGACATTGCTTTAAGAGAGTAAGAGTTTCACTCTTATTTTAACTATTAAAAAAGTGTTCTAGTGGATATTCATGGGGTCTTCCTGGTTGCAAACTTGTAAAAATATATTAAGAAATCATTATCCCCATTGGTATTAAATATTTCGAGACACAACCATTGTGGTTGCATTACCAGTTATGGCTACTATGGTCTTAAGCATCTGATTGTACATTGTTGCTATACTGTTAAGCACAACTGAGGCGTGTATTTTTTTCCCTTGGTTATAAGATTAAATTACAAAAATTGATCACTGTTTCAAACCAGTTAAACACGAATATTCAAGTAACAAGGTTTTTTTAATGGATAAGTGAAAAAAGAAGTTACCTAGCACTTTACACGACTACATAAAAATTAAATAGAACAAATGAAATTTGTTTATGCATATGCAATACACTTTTATATCTTTAAGATTTCTAAAACTAAAACTTAAACTATCATTTGCTTTAACGATACCATATTTTGCACAATAACTTATACTTAGGAGAAATAATTTCCCATTTTCCACAAAATATATATAATTATGACATTCACATTGATAGTTTAAGAAACAAAATTTAAGTGAATATTCTATCTTATGCAGTTATCTTTGTGGACCCTTCTAGTCAGAATGCAACCAGTTGATGTTTCTAATGCTTGACCCATTTAAAAAAAGAAAAAAAGGGTCTTCACCTAAACAAGATCAAACCATTTCAAAAGCTAAAATGATTTTATCGCATTTAAAAACATAGTTCAAGAGAACGTAAAAAACTAAACCTTTAAAATACAGTGCTATTATATTGCATGTATCAACTACAATAAGATAGCAGTCAACTGAAAAGTAATTAAACAACTTTTTTCTTCCTAATATCACGAATTATACATGTTTCCCCCTACCCCTTGGGGATGAAGCCAAAACACAACTTTTCTGATCATAAGATGGACAGATTTGAGGGCAAAAACCGATGGAAAGTCCTCACAGGTAACTAACTCTCCAGCAGAAGCCTCTCCTGACGAGTCCCCCCAGCTGGGATGCAGGTTCCCACAACATTCCCACACTGGCGAGGACCTGTCTCCATGCATTGGTACCAGCAGGAGGTTTAATACTAGAGTGTTTCTAATGAGCAGCATTGCTTTACACAACTGTCAACTGGATTCACAGTGCTATTTGCCCGGTCTTTAATCCCAATTCACACACTGGCTATCAACTAGCATCCTTTCCCACAGGAGACTCCCAACTCCAACTGGGACAGGTCTGAAGGAACATCTGAACCACGATCAGAGCTCCCAGTTCACAGCAACAGCTGTAGAGATACAAACATCAATACAAAGGACACGGAATAGCTCCCTTCCATCCTCCCATCACCTCGTAGGATCTCTCTGGAGCTACTAGAATGGAACTGCTCAGAAACAGCTACCAGGTTTCTGAAACAGGCCCTTTGTGGGCTCCATGCTCCAGCGTGCCCTAGGAAATCCCTATCTGCTCTGTGCCTGTGTGTCGTTGCTCAGTTTCTGATGTTGAATTACTCTCCTCACACAAGGCCCAAGGGGAAGGACTTTCCTTGGGCTGTGTCCACACTGCAGGAGTTGCACAGAGCTGGCTCTACTACCCAGCTTGCATCAGCCTGCCTCGCTCAGGTACAGAGAGCAGAGCCACTACAGCACACAACATGGCACAGCCCAGCAGCTAAACATCAGCACCAAGGACGGGGCTCAACTATGAGCTGCAGCACCTCAGCTGCAGGCCAGGCCACGGACTAGCTCATTTCAGGTTATGTTAAGAAAGGCTGGTGCTGTACATCACTGTGTGCCATCTTGGCTTGAACCCTCTGCAGAGGAAGAGAAGCAAAGAAGGTCCTTTTTTCCACCTGCAAAGACACCTGGTGGTTTCTTTCATCATCATTAAATTAACCATTTTTAAATGCTTTGTGACTAGTGTTATTTTGCAGCTTTCCACTGGACAAGAAGTAATAATGCTGCTTCTAGCCTCTCTGAACACTGTCTGCTTGGCAGTCAGCAACTACCTTGTTCAAGGTGCAAAGTCCTCATACAGGACTTCCAAGAACAGCTCCAGTTCAAGCCAGGTAGATAGGCCACAGCACAGGTCATCAGAGCAGAGGGCTGGGATTTGAAAGCTGCATGCACCAAGTATTTGGAAAAGCACCTCTTAGATTTTAAATTGCATATTTTGGTTCAGAACATGAAAGCGATGTGTGCTTCAGAAGGGTTAAAATGGCCAATGAAAATTAACCCGGTTCTTCTCCATTAAACTTCCAAGAGATCAAAAACTCTTGAAGGTTGAATTTTGTGCTCCAACCCCCGTCCAGACTTCCAGTGGGAGAAGCAGTTTGATGTCTTTGGCAAACAGCGCTCTGAAGAGAAATGAGACACTGGGACAGAAAGTGACCTATGGTAGCCAAATGTAAAAAGGCACATATTCCCCAAAGGAGAGGCACCAGAGAAAGTTTGTTTTGACTTAATCCCGCAGAGGATCAGGAAAAAGAAAGTTGTGTAGCACTCATTTAACAAGTTACAATGCAAATGCTGAATGCCAGGGGTTAAATAGCGTATCAAACAGTTTCAGGTTACGTATTCCCTTTTGCACTAAATAAAAGCCATTAAAATATACAGGAATAAAATGCTCAATTAGGGAGCTTTCTATGAAGCAAGAACACACAAATACAGTGGAAGAAATTGCACAAACCAGAAGTGTAATGAGTTATATCTACAACCTTGGACTGACCAAACCTTAGAAATAACATTTCCTATCGCTTTGCATTATTCAAGATTGTTTGTTAACATGTCCTGTCATGGCAGAACAAACCTGACACTGCTGGCATGTGCACAGGCCTCTCCTTTATAGAAAGCTCACTAATAATAGTGTCATCGTAAGAATACACAGGAAGCGGAGACCACAAGGCCATGCAGCAATACATACTTATACCCTATGGACCAAGTATTATAAGAACTCCTAATGTGTAGAGTTACTGTGGGGCTGCTAAGGAGCTCCTTGTTTTGCAGGTTGGTCAAAAATTTATAGGTGTTACTGGTTCTAGAAGTCCCCATGCTTAAGCATGATGTTGATGAAATGGAGAGCTGAGCTACCTGGGTGCTTTTGAAAGAAAGTGGAGGCAGTATGGAGGAATGAGGGGAGATTAAGGCAGATGTAGCACAGGACTGGAAGCGTTTGCCTTTTTTTTGGTAATAGCTGCTTGTCCACAGATATGATGCAGATGGCTGTCTGAGGTTTGCTAATACCTGATATCCTGGATAACACAGTAGTCAACACAAATTGTTCTAGGCTACAGCACCTTCTCACGAAGCAGATGCATATCTGACATCAAGAACAGAAGTAGCCTGGAGGAAAGGGGAAAGGGGGGAGAAAAAGGAGATGTTTAGTTTAAAATGAATACACATAGGCTTTCTTGCATCTCCAAACTTCCCCAGATCCACGGTACTAAAAGCAACTAAACAGACAACCCTGGCACATAGGAAGAATCGCAGCAGCTTTCCCTATTTTGAGGCACACTGGGATTTGTTGTTGGGAATGTAAACATATAGGAATTAAGACTGGAGCTGAGGCTGTTTCATAATCAGTAGTCTCACCTCCCTCCTGCAGAAAAAGGGAACTGTAGCCACTTGCTATGGAAAAGCCCAGAGACCTCAGAGGGCTGATGAAGCTTTCACCAGGCTGGTGGCCAGACAGCTAAGGCATGCCAGGGGAGAAAGCACCCAAGGGACTTCAGTGTTAGGCCAGCAAAGTCTTCTCCTGGCTGCTGCAGAGTCCCCCTGACTTGACCAGACACCACCCGTGTAAGTGCCTTCAGGAGCAGGTATCAGTGACGCGGTACTGTGCAGCTCAGGAGGGACCGGAAAACCTGCTCCTAGGCCACACAGATCACTTATGGGATAATCCCAATGATATGTCACCTTGCCCCCAGAACTGCTGAGACAGGCACCCAGTCAGCACAGTGCTTATGTTACTTCTGAAGGCAGGAGCACTACATTTATAGCCAGTCTGAGAGGCAAGGTTTGATGTGCTCAGAGAGCATGGTGGCCACTAGATACCCACTGTGGGACAGCTTTGTGTCCCTTCCGTATGTGTTTTTATAAAAAACTGCAGGCTTGGTAGTTAAAATCCCCTCCATGCTGCCAGCCATGACATATCAGTTCTCCTACAGTCCAGAACAGGCCTCATCAAGACCCACAAGCCACACGGGGCTAGGCATATGTAGTCTGTCACAGCTGGCAGCTCACTGCCACCCTGCCTAGCTCCTGTCTGTGTCAGCCTGGTGCAGGCAGGCTCTACCCTCATCCCCACAGTATTGCAGGGCACTGAACTGCCTGACTCTCGCAACAGCTGCCATTTCTCCAGGCTTTGCAACCATTTCCACCAGACTGTTGTTTTGGTCTGGTTCCCACCACTCAGCACTTGTTCTGCTCCAGACTGGGCACTTTCCATCACTAGTTTCAGGGATCACAACAGCTGCTCTAGCAGTAATCTTACCAGACCTTGCCATCATGCCTCCACTCTCCCTGCTCCTCCTCTGCTAACTCGTTTGGGATCCTCATTGTTCCAGTACACGCACACTTGGCCACATCAGCCCACTCCAGTTCCTGTTGCAGCCATTTTTTCCTACATCAGGCAAGACTCACCTGTTTTGACCTCAACTGTCAGGAACAAGGGTGTATTTGAAGCTAGGGAGAATCTCAGAGCACTCAGAGAAGAAAAGTTCTGCATTGCCAACAGATACAACTCTACCGATGACAGGAAAAGGCAGTGACATGAGCCACCTATCTTTCAAACTGGTGGCTCTACCTTTCAATTCAGGAAGAATGGGGCAATTTCACTCACACCCTCCTGAGAAGGTGAGTTTTCTGAGTTTGATTTTATTTATCTGCCATACCTTTGGATCTAGTTCCCAAATATAAGCATCTTTGAATTACATGTTATTAGGATTTGTGAAGCAGTGGAGTTCTGCTTTTTGAATGTCTGAAGGACAAGGTATGGGGTGACCCACCCTTAATCAGACCAACAAAGATATACACTGAGAAGTCTTTAGTCCAAAATTTGCCCTATGTTGTTGACTGTGCTTGCATTTAGAAGACACAGCTTTTGCACCAAGCTGTCTTACAAATTAGGTCAAAGGAAGTCCTTGACATTTTTAACACACAAACCTCTACTGGGGTTTTTCTTTGCAAGATTGTGTTGATACTACATTTTTGTAACTCACTTTCATATTTAAACATTCTACAGTCCCTTAGTTAACTTTAAACATACATGGCCTTTGGAGAAGTGTTAACTCCGTGAAGCTTCATCACAGAGATGCTGTTTCTAAAATGTCTGTCTTCACAGAAACTGCTGTAAAAATCATGGAAACTTTGTCTTTAGGTAATTCCAGAGTGAACAGTTTCACACACTCATCTTGTTTACAGCTTTCTTCCCTTCCCTCGAGTGAAGCTACTCAATCATCAAAAATGAAAGAGCAAGTTTTGGCTCAGAGGACTGTAGGGTCCCACAAAGCCAAATCTAGAACAGTTGGGAGAACTGAGTGCAGGGAAAACATCCAAGTGAGACAAAGATGTATGGGGTTTCAGCAGCAAGAGGCATTAAAACCTCCTTGTTCTGATGAGATACAGATACTGTCAGAGGGTTGCAAACCAACTGTTCTCTTTCTGCTTTCGTACATGCCTGGAATTCCCAATTCCCCAAATCAGTACTGGAATGTGTATATCCAGAGGAAGTGAAATATGCTCAGATTGAAGATTGTAAAAAATTTGCAAAGACTGTGTGTATATATGTATATATATATACACACACGTCTATCTGAACTGAGCTCAGATTGTGAATTTTATGTTACTTTTAAACTGGATTTACCTCATCTTCCTCTTCGGACATCTTAGTGGAATTATCAGGGGATTTTACAGGCTTCTGGCTATTGGTTCCATTTGTCTCCTCTTTGCCGTGCTCTGCCTCCCACTCCTGAAGGACTTCATCTATGTTGAAACGACGTCGATAATTTACAAAAAAGTTTTTCACTTGCACCACAGATTTGTTTCCAATCACATCAGAGATTGCCTGAAAGTCTCGGCCGTATTTTCTGATTGCTGGAAGCGACAAAAAGAAAAACAAAAGCAATGTGTTATTTCCACTAAGACCACAAATCAGGCTCAAGGAACAGCATAAGGATCCAAAGCTGAACCTCTGTCAAGGTTTCAAGCCTTTTTCAGATTAATCCAGGAAAAAAGAAGTCTAAATAGGGCAAGAGACACAGCTAAGACCAGCCCTGGAGAAGAGAAGAAAATAAAGGTTTAGTAAAAGATGGGCAGAGTCAAATCTACAAGACCTGTGTAAATCTTCCTGTACTGCTTGAAAAGTTACACAAGAGAACAGCATAGCAGTGATTCCAGCACAGTTTCATTTTCTGAAAGCTTAGACAAGCAGACATTATTTGCAAATATTCATATGATGAAATTTATACTGCCCAGGGAGGGGAAGGGGGAATATTTTTGCCTTGTTCAAATACATTCTTGGTGCATTAGTACACAGCAATGTCAAAATCCTTCATTAGCCACTGAAGGGAAACTCAGACCTGAAATGCAGCAAAGGTTTGACCATCAACAAATGAAGTACAGTGCCATACCTTGCACAGCAAGAAGCTGTTCATCTGTGGTCCAACGTGCATTAAATTTCTGGACAACCTAGACAGCAAAAAAAAAAAAAAAAAATTAGGTAACTTCATTTATGTACCTTCATTGTATCTGAGCTCTTAAAAACCCCTCAAAAGTGCAAAAAAGAATTGTTAGTCAAAGTATATAATTCCTTTAGTAGAAATGACATTTTCAGCATAAAGAACTGATGTGGCATCCATTCAGTTAACTGTGACATACACTGTGCCTGTAAGTCATCGTAACAAAAGAAGATAGGGAAGGGTCTGATCAGATAACTAAGAGCCACACTCTTCCAAAGCACCTACTTGTTTTTATCACAGACACCTGTAATCTTGGCCAAATTACTTCCAGCATGAGGTACCAGCATTGGAGGGAACACAGCGAAAGCCTCAAGTGCCCAAAGAAAGATGGGCCATTAATATCCTGTTCCACATTTCTCAGCATTTAGAGCAAAGCAACTACCTCTCTCAAAAGGGCATATAGATATAGCACTGGCAAATCATGATCTATCTGGGATACCTTTACTTCTGTTAGAAGCAACTTTCACAGATTTCAACTTAAACGCTGCTTCTTACTTTCTTCTCATCTCCCATTTCCATTACACATCAGTGAATATGGTAAAGGACCTGAGTCACACTGACAATCAATAGGACATTGCTCCTACTTTACTGGAAACCAATAGCCATGGTATGTAAACACAGATTAGCATTTATCTTCACAATAAGCAAGGGTCAGAAAATGATCTTACCTCTGGAAGTCTGTATTGTTCTATACCACCTTCAAGTTTTTCTTTGAGCGCGCTGTTTGTCTGTTTGATATTCTGAATCTGAAAAGAAAGTTTCATTCCTTTAAAAAGGATTAAAACATATCTTTGGACAAGCCTTATTTCTAGCAGCCTCAGCAGGAACCCCACAAGCTCAGCCTTTCCAAAAGGAAGTGTGTGGAATGCAGGAGCAGCTGGTGAATCAGGAGATCCCATTTAATTTATTCTTTGCTGTCTGCAAGTTATTTGGAGCACGAACTGCCCCAACTTTGAGGTCTGTATAAAGACCAGTATGAGAAGAAAGACCCCGTTTGCAGCAAGTAATGAATCAAAGACTGCTAGAGAGCTTCACTTCTCCCAGAGTGCCAAAAAAAGGCTTCAGGCCAAAATATCAATTCTATAAAGTTTAGAGACAGATCTATAAAGAGTTCGAGACAGACCTCTGCTTTAGAAAGAGCAAAAATGCTCAGATCTAGGCAACAGACTCATGTAGTAAACCTGTCTTTAATCACAGATATTTGAAAAACATTTGTTTAAAAGCCAGATCCATGAGGGAAGCAAAAGGTATACAGGAAAGTTTGTATAATGCCTGTCTAAGAAAGACTAAACCATATCTGCCTCTTCTAAAAGTACCATATGAAAAAGCAAAGGAAACCAGCTGCTGCAGATGGAAATTGGATACTGCTGAAACTAATGTCACCTGAGGAAAGTTCACAGTTAAAACCAAAGGAACTTTGAACTGCAAGAAACAGCAAGCGCCAACAAGTGTTCCTTCAAGTCCCACTGTGAACTTTTCCTTGCTTTTAGGTATAAAATAGGCTTGCCTAAAGAACTACAACATGAGATGTAAAACCCAGGGCTGCATTAGTTCAGAGCACAGAACTAGCAGTTTGTCAACTAAGCCACATAACAATGCACATCATCACTGCCAAGCCACAAATTCCTGCCAGCTTCGCAGACTGAAACAGGCATTACCACCAAAACCAGCCCATCCATATCCCATCCATACCTGTCGTTTGATTGAGACTAATTCCATGTCCAGTTGTCTGAGTACAGTGGTAGCAGCTGTTGCATTGGCAGAAACAGCCTCCACATCTTCCTGGGAAAGGAACATTCCTTTGGGAGGTTTCCTCTTTGCTCTGTTTTTGGCCTGTGTACTGTGCTTCTCCTTCTTCACCTGAGGGACAGTTTCAGCAGGCGGTACCTGGCAAAGAGCAGTCATTTTACAAAACTGGATGATCTTTAAAGGTCCCTTCCAGCTCAAACCATCCTGTGATTCTATGACTTTTAGCCATCAAAGACTGGAGAACAACAAAGCTACTTTGCAAACAGGATGACGTTTTTTGCTTTAAGTGGTGTGTCATACAAACACTGTCTTGTACAAATCTCTCCTTTCTTCTAGGCAGCTTTCAGTATTTACAGAGATACTGGTTGTCTTCTCTGCCCATTCTCATTTTGGGAGGCAGATGCACAATTTTGCAGCAGTTAAATGTTCTCCTTATTTTCAAACCTCCAAAACCTCTCTTCTTGCTTTCATCATCAGGCCTGAACACACCATTTTAACTGAACTCCAGAATGAAACAAAGTGGAGTTTGCCGACAGGGGAAGAACACAACTAGAACAGTTTACTGAGACTTGTATTATTACAAGTCAGACAGGAGAAGGAATAAACCAAATTTATTTAAAGGCAAAGGATAAAGGAGTGAGATGACTACAGAGTAATTCTTAGATTGTTACACCATTCCTTGGAAGACAAGTTTTCTTGCATAGCACTTGTATATCAACTGTTCCATTAAACTGATGCAGTTTTGCCTAAAATAAAATTTAAGTCTCTTTTGGAAAAACAAGTATTTCACAGACCGCTTATTATTTTTATCCCTTACATTTAAAGCAAAGAATTTAGCACACACCTCTAACGGGGAGATTAGCCAGGACACTACACTACACATCCTTCAAGAGCACATCTGATTCTAAAAACCAAAACCATTTCTTCCAGAAGTTATTTTCAACGTGCAACTCATAACTAAGATTTACTACCCAGTGACTGGAGCCTGGCCAAGAACACAGAACAGAAGAAGGGTGGCAGGGAGAGAAAAAGCAGAGAGGGGAGGTTGAATCCTCTACTTGATCACTGCCAGCTTTAAACACATTGGCTTCATTTAGAGCTATTGTTTCCCTCCTAATTTGCAGCTACATGCAGTTTCTACAGAGTTTGTGACATTTGCTCATTAGTGAACATTAAATGCTCACATTTGAAACCACACAAGGCTGAATACAAACCCCACGTAAGCATGAGGTTCTGACTCCCAAAGTCCAGAGGACTCCTGCACAGCTGTCAGCAGACAAAAGCTTGCACCCTCTTCCTGGGCACAACAGCCAGAGCCACATAACAGCAGTAATGTGGACAATTGCCTGTTCTCAACCTTTTTCTTCCATCGATTAGTGCAAAGTATTCCATGAGATACGATGCCTAAGGCAAGCCCAGAAGCAAGAGGTAACTATTGCCATGGCAGGATGGATACCCCTATTTCTTTTTGCAGAAGGGAGTGGTGAGCAGGGGAAAGCAAAGTGGTTTCCCACTATGAGCAAGTGAGGTAAGCTCTGTACCCTGCTTCAGAAGTGAGCACTTTGATAACTGAGCCAGGTAAATTATTCAGCATGGATAGGCATTTCAGATCTACTCCTATTTCATTTGCATACACAATTTCACAGGACCACACAGCAATACCTCACTACAGGTTCAGGCCGTAGGTTGACCAACATGCAATTCCCACAGTGCAAACATCCTAGAAGCCTCAACATTAAGGAAAAATGAAAGCAGTTTTAAATGACTGTTTTACACAGTTCAAAAAATGCAAAACTCTTTTGTGTTGGGGACAAGAAGCCAGAGCTCCAGCAGAACAGTTTTTGATGGCTCCAAATGCCTCCAGACCCCAGCAAAAATTTGAACATCTACTCTGCCTTGGAAACTCTTGCTTTCCCAGCCACACACATCCCTCTTTAGAATTAAATAAATTAATGAAAACCAGAGAGAATTAAAATGCAGGGATTTAACAGTGCTCCTCTGTTTATTTAGGTGTTGCCACTGCTATCCAGTGCACTTCAGTCTTACAAACCCCTTAATACAAAGTTCCCTTCCTCAGATTTTACTCTGTGAGAAGAAAAGACCAAGCTATCTCAAGCCATGTAAAAGCAGAGGATGAAATAGGAGGCATTTCCAGGAACAGGGAAGATATGGAGAAAGCAGCTCTAGGTCATGACCTCAGTATTACAGAGTCACTATCTGAGGAAACCTGAACAGTTGCACTAACACTGAAAGTAAAAAGGGAAGATTCCCCCTCCAATGATCCCCAAAAGAGGAAACAGATGAGAGATTTCAGATACTCTGAGAAATCCCAGTATTACTGGGCAAGTCAGATAGTAATCAATTCAGAGGCCACAAAAACATCTCTCTGCAGTTGGGACAGGGAGGTTCTTTACGGTAAGAGTCCTGAGGTGCTGACGCATCACCAGCCCTGCACATCTGACCACGTCATTAAAAGAAACACAATGATCAAGAACGACCTTATTGCCCCTTCCTGGATACCTGCTCTCTCTCAAGGCATTTCCATTAGCCCCAGGTGCAGGTACTGTAAAATCAGAATCATAAAATCATTAAAGTTGGAAAAGACCTCCAGGATCTTCAAGTTCAACTTTTGACGAACGCTACCATGACAACTAATCCATACCACTACGAGCCACATTCAGTCGTTTCTCGAACACCTCCAGGGCTGGTGACTCCACTACCTCCCTGGGCAACTCATTTCAATGCTTAACAACCCTTTCAGTGAAAAAAGTCTTCCTGATATCCAGCCTGAACCTCCCCTGGCACAGCTTAAGGCCGTGCCCTCTTGTCCTGTCATTAGTTGCCTGGGAGAAGAGGCCAACCCCCATCCTGCTACAACCTCCTTTCAGGTAGTTGTAGAGAGTGATAAGGTCTCCCACGAGCCTCTTCTTCTCCAGGCTAAACAACCCCAGCTAAACTCTTAACAGGCCATGAAGGCTGTTGGCTTCATTTTGCCCTCCAGCACAATCCCTGACCAGAAGAGCCCCCACAAGGCTGCCTGACACTGCACACACGGCCAGACTGCACATGCTACATGAGTTTCAGATTGGTAGGAGTGCCATGGCCTGCATCAGTGTGACAGGGAGGGCACGCAGCCTCCTCCCACACAATATTTTCTACAAAAATGCCTTGGTGGTAACTATTAGACATCTGATCTGGTTTGGTCTTACAACAGAAAGTTGGTAAAGAACTACCGTTCCCTCTTCCGCAGCAAATTCAGGGCATGGTAGGGAAGGAAGCAATAACAGAGGGGATTGAAGGGAGCTCTTTTACAGATGCAAGCTTTCAAAGAGCTTACAAAGAAATCTAAACTTGAAAATTAATTAAAATATTGGGAAATAGGACAATACTATTATTTACAAGACACTGGAGAGCTGCAGTATGCAGCTGCAACTTAGCCAAGTGAGAACCCTTCCTGTTTGGCTGTTGCTGAAGCTTCTGCAGTTTCTTGTAAGGATGAATACAAATGGCTTCACATCCACTCTGCTCCTAGACAGACATCAAGGGTGCTGGTCCTTTCAGTGGAAGCAACAGTTAGGCTTTTCTGGAAAGTCTAAAGAGCACCCTGGCACAGGCAAAGAACAGATGGGAATGTTGCAATTTTTCAGTTATTTCCATTAAAAATAATTTGTTGGAGAAATTAATCTCACTGACAGTGGCTGACAAAACAGCTGCTCTAGGACTTTGTTTTTGCCTCAGTTAGATCATGTTTTTAAATATTTCTAGTGGATTTTCCCTACATATAACCTTTAAAGGAATTTTAAAAAGGAAATAGAATGTCCGTGGGAGAGAAATTAGGCTACAAGAAATCAGGAAAGGGAACTACTTCAAGGAGAGATGGCCTTAGGATAAGCATCTTTCTCACTCACACATACAACCCACGCTGCAGCTGAAAGGCAAGGTGCTTTTATTTAGCAGCAGATAACCTGCAGGTTATAGACATGAAGTATATGCTTTCCAGTTAAGCATCACAGACTAGGTTTTCAAAACTGTTATATCTGTGTGGCTATTTTCATCCAGAACTCTATGCCCACTTCAACTACTTCATTTTAAGTGAGATGCAAGTACCACACTTAAAGTAGACAAAATATTCTGCACATATCAGGTTAAGGCCCCTCTGCCACACAAAATGAACCGGTCACAAAAACCTTCTCCTTTTCTTTTCACCAATGGAGCTGCAATCCTGGTGCAACTGAAATCCCCAGAACTACTGCTGGGAATTTCAGTACATCAGGAATTTACCTCAGAATCTAAGCTGTAGCTAAACACGCTCTTAATGGTCTACCTAGAACAAAAGGCTGTCTCTCCTCTCCTAAGCCACCTTAATGGGGAGATGCATTTCTACTCCATCTCCACGCAGTTAGGTTGATCTAAACCATGACTGAAGGTGGTTTAAGCTAACACACCCGAAGAGAGAATCAAAGAGAGTAGAAACAATCACAGACTACATAATCATGGGACGGTAAAGTCTGAAATTTTCCCAGTTCCATCCATAATAACTTATCTAAACTTGTCTTGATCTAAGAATAATTCTGAAGACAATTCTTTTCTTGTATGACAACTATACAAAGCACAAAAAGAAAATTACATACTGTCAGCTTCTACATGAAGTAGCTAGTAAGTAAACACTTTCATTTGTACAGAAATAAGAAAAAGAATTATACCTCCTTTTTGCTCTCCTTGTTTTGTTCAACTTCAATGTCAATTGGGTTATTTCCATTTGCTTCCTCCATTTCATCCTCACTGGAAAACAAAAGCAAACAATACTGTATTAGTTTGTGAGACTCTCTTTTTCTACAAATAGAGTGCTAAAACAAATGCATGGATGCAATATCCAGTCCAACAGCTTTCCTTAGTTTTATTCCCAGGATGTGGGGTTTTTTAGAGGGTTGCAGGTATCTTTGGGTTCCTTTGGCTTTGGTTTAAGTCAATAAATTCTTAACTGTGAAGACAGTACATACAGGATAACTTCTCAGTAGTGTACTTGGGCAAAGTAAGTCTGCACAGAGATATGAAATTAATTCCACAAGTTATCTTTTAAAGAACATGGGACACTGAGCATTTTAACTTTAGGCAAACTGACAGAAAGAAAGACTGAGAAATAGAGCAAGTAGCTAAAACTTGGATTTCACAGAACTCCTTTACATTTTGCAAAACAGACATGCACAAGATGAGCTCCCTCAAGAACAAGTATAAAAAATGTTTGGTTGTTTTGTTTTTTCTTCAGTGACAGCTTTACATTTTATTTTCCCTTGGAAAAGAAAAAGACTATCAGTTACAGAATAATAATAAGCATGAAATTGGGGCCATATTGAAAGTGACCCTGGCACACCTGTCCACTTTAGCTTCATTGAAATTTTAATCAGACATTAAATCAAATGTATTTCCACCATTTAGAATTTTTGTACTGTACACAACTGAAGTTAATTGCACCATTTGAGATGATGCCCAGAAGCAGAAGACATAAGCTGATCTAATACAAGCTTTTTACCTTTTTTTTTTTTTTAAATCAAAAAAAACACCCCTATTTTGTCAAGTCAAACTTTGTAGCCTGGGCTGAAGAACCATCAGCTGGTGCAGGTACGCCACAGCTTCCGTGCAGGGCAGAGCTGTACTACAGTGCTGGAGCCAAAAGGGTACAGCTCCTGGCTGGCTCCCTGCTGCAGCCACATCTCAAGGAGGAAGGGACTGCCAGGTGGCTTGGGCTGGCATCCATCTCCACAAGAGCAGTCACTTGTTCAAGCCACTTCTGCTCTCCTAAGCTGCCTGGCTCACTAGCTGATTCACAGGACATTTATTCTGAGTAATCACAATTCCAGGGAATAAACTCCCAAGCATCCCCTCCCAGAGCTGAACACACAAAGCCCCTCACACACTACTAAGAACAGCTCCTGAAAACCTGGTTCTAAATGCACTGGGAGTTATTTTAGCAACAACCTGAGGAGCTGGGGAATTTCCCTGCCTAGCCACAGAAGAGATACAGAGGTATTCGAGTGAGATACCTCAGACTGCCACTTCACTTAACCCCATCTCTGAAAGAACTTCCTTGTGTTCTCACCTAGGTTCAGATTCCAGCCTTTCTACAACAGTCAAGTCCCACAGCCTTTGCTGTGCTGATAGTTTGATCCTGTATTCTAGCATGTTCTCTAGACATGAGCTAGATCAAAACCCACCCACTCATTTCTGCAGTTTTAGACACTGATCACTATAACCAAAGAGCACTTCTGCAGTTCTGCCAGCACAGAATGGCAGAGTACAACCTGAAAATCCGGGCACCCTGAACTCACCCAGTGTGGATTCCACACCCCACATGGTTGCACTGACAAACCCTTTGGGGGTGTAGGGTTTGACTATTTTATGTAATGGAGGGGAAGAATGGAAATCAAAAATCAAGCTGATGGCCTTGTGCTTAGCTTGCTGCAGATGTAAACCAAATATGCATTTCCAATCCAGCTGCTTTCCTCAAAGGTTACAAAATTGCAGCACGTGGCAGCCCATACAGTTCTTTCCCAATCACCAGATGGTTTGAGGTGCCGCTTTTCCTACCAAACAGGCATAGGTACCTGAGAGGTGTATTTCCAAATTGCAGTAATTTCACTTATGAGCACAGAACAAAAATAGAGGAGGTAGTATGAAAAGACCCTAAACTACATAGTATGAGACAAACAAATACTCCTTATAAAAGATTCCATGCCCCCCCATAAATTAGTAGGAAAACTAAAACCAACCAAACTAAAATAAAAAAATAAATAAAACCCATCAGGATGGGGAGAAGAAAAATAGACAGCCTTTGCAGAGAAAAGAAAGGAACAGAGTGGAAAAAGAGACTCAAGTCAAAGAAAGCCAACCAAATACTGGACAAATTGGCTGGCAGTATTCTCCCTGGCCCTGCCTGTTAAGCAAGTATTGTTGACCTAATGGAGAGATGGGAGAGGTTGAGTGAGTCATTGGTGTAGAACAGCTCAACCCTAGAAGCACGTTTCTTCCCCCTTTCCAAACAGAGCTTGCTCATATGCACTGGAGCCAGCAAAGAGCTCCTTGGGAAGTGCAGCAACTCCTTTGAGGGAAAAACTTTCGCAGAATTGTGCCCGATTATATTAGAAGTCTTCCAAAGCCAGGCACAACTCAAGTTTGGTCTGCAAAGACATTAACTGCATTTTAGAGCAGGTTGAGAAGGCACTTGCATCAAGCAGATGGAGTTGCTGCTGTTCAGAGGGGTTATCTCCCCACAGACACCTGAGGCCTCTGCACTTCTGAGGCTCTGCCAGCTCCAGAACTAGGCAAAGTCACCAAGTGGCAGTTCCAACTGTACAGATACTTACAGCACTACACACAAGGCCACTGGCTGCTTTACTTTCAAGGGCTTCCATGGTTATCCAGGAGGGTGAACTTGCAGAAAAAGCAGGAGTCAAGCTCATCTGCTAAACCTCAGTAGCTAGTGACCTCCGGAACACCACCAGCCTCACTCAGATCCTAATGCACCCAGCAGTCCTTGGGACACCTCTGCCAGAGAGCTCATCCTGAGTTGCCCTCTGCTACCCTCTTCTCAGTCACTCAAAAACAGAGCCTTAACTTCACCTTTCTTAGGAAACAGCTTGGCTTGACATCCTTACACTGGTCACAGTTTTCTAAGAGGCAGTGGAGGGTCTGTGTGCATACACACACAGGAGAGAGATCCTGCACTGGAGCCTGTTCCCCATATCAGGTGCACATTCTCACTCTGCTGAGCATCACAGAGAGGAAATAAAGGCAGATTTCTAGCTCTTTCATTACTTCCTTTTACCATCCTGCTTATCAGCTTTTCTGGCTCTGCTGACTACAGTGCCAATCAGACTGTAAACAGTATTAATTTCATTTTCTCCACCCTCACGCAGTATCAGAGAAAACGGTCTAGAATGGGACGGTAACCAGTGTATTAGAGGGCAATCAGGAATCGCACAGTGTTGAAAAAGGGAGCACACCTAATTGCCAACAGATTCCCTTTGGCTTTAAGCAAAGCAAAACATGCACAGCAGGGAAGAGGGGTGGGGAAAGGTGTGGTACCAGGAAACGTTTTGGGGAAAATCCTCCATCTAGTTTCTTACAAGCTAATAGGAATCTCTGGGATAGTCTAAAGAAACCAGTGTGTGGCAATACACAACCTTTCTGCTTGCAAACCTACCTTTCCTCACGTTCCCTTTTTTGTTTACGAGCATGACGGTCCATCACACTAGTTTTAGTCCTTGTCTTCTTCCAGGAGTAGTAAAATTTCACCAAGCTGGCTATTGATTTGTCAGGAAGCTGTAAATTAAACATGTATCCTTTTATATGTTTATATGTAAAGTATCCCCAGGAGTTCATATACAATTGGTCTGGTTTTGTCAAGGAACATCTGATCTCTCTACATTGGATTGTCTCAAAGGCTCAAGCAAGGCAGTTCTGCAGCCTTTCCAAAAACGAGCTATGGCAGAGTGTTTCAGGTTAGTGCCTACTATTTAGGACATCAAAATCTCTGAAGAGCATCTCAGCAAGCCTCCACTCATCAGCCACGTAGCTGGTTCCCTTCAGAGTAGAGGAACAGAGCAAGAGCATATCCAAAATGAGGCCTTGAAACTGAGATAACCGTTTTAAAAGCCGACACAGACACGTGTAAACAACTGCAGGAACTGCTGAATTGCAGGCACCATCCCAAGCACATCTTTGATATCTGGTTAAATAGGTTTATTCACACCATTCACATGATGAAGTCTATTCAAAGGCATCAACAAAGGATGTTTTCAAAAGGTGAAATGTTACTGTATGGTGAACTGACAATACAGAAAAACACAAGTCTCAGAATCAATTTTTTTGGTCCTCCTACTAATACCATTACCCTGTAGCTATGAATGAAAGGTCTGCCTCCAAAAAGCATAAAACTACATTACAACTAATTCTCTACTTCTGAAATACTCTGCATGGATGTTCTTATACCGGACTTTTAAAAGGTAAAAGTCCAGCCTTTCTTGCTGAATAACACATGTTTTAGTTAAGTGTCTGATTCAGCTTGGAGGGCAGAACAGGTGGGGCTTGAAACAAAACTGTGAGCAAGAGCCAGATCTCTCTTATTCAGATACTGCAGTTTAAGTCTTCACTTGAGATAAGCCTGGTTCTCAAACTGCAGATTGACTTTAGGTTCTAATAGTGGATCACAATAGAACTACCACTCTGGCCCACAGCTGCACACAGGCAGAAATCCATCTGTGCTGGCAAAGCACAGGTGCTGTGTCGATGTTGTGTTGCCAATAGCCACGCAACAGGCTGGTATGCTGGAATTAAGAGTTCCACAGAACAAACTCAGGGACAAGGCTGTTCTTGACAAACGTCCACTTGGCTACAAATCCGTGCTAAGAGTGCCAAAATATCAGAACTAGCTTCGGTAAATAACATAACTTGCTCTTCATTCTCTGGTCTTGATGATTTCTCCCCTCAGTTCCAAACTGCATTGGTGCTAATGGGGCAGCATATATAAACTAACTACTAACGTGCTCCCGAGCCATTGATTCCTGTCCCTTGCTAAACACAAAGCTTCTTGCCATTTAATTTCTTTCATGCAGGATGGCTTTCCTGGGAGCAACAGTAAAAAAGTATCATTAGCTAGGGAACAGTGCATTAGCTTGGCATCCCTGTATTGGAATGCACTTCACTGAGGGACAGAGCCATGCTCCTGCACATAAACTGAATGGAGAATTTCTTGCTTTAGCATTTAACCAAGCAACGGGATGGGCTTTATGTTCTCTTTTTTTCCCCAGGACATTCCCCTCCCCTTTTTCCCCCCCTATATAGAAACAGAGGAATAAAGAAGCTTCACCCTTAAAGAGTTCCACAAGTCCAGACTGCCCATAGTTTGTGCAAGCCCTGTCACCTGACCGAAGGCAGTGGGAGACCCTAGGACTCCAAGAACATTTGGAAATGGACATCAGTGAAGGAACATTCAAGGAGGACATGAGGCACTTTACTGAAGGAGAGCAAAGAACAAAGTCTAGTTCCCCATCCAGGTGATGAACTAGAAGACACTCTCAAGATACAATTAGTAATAGTTTTTAACATCCCATCCTCTCCCTCTTTCAAAAGAAAATTGCACATTCCCCTAGCACCTCCCTTTCAGGCAGAAATCTACCCTTGAAGTTTTCAATCACAGTTTAAAACAATATCAATACCAACCAAAATCAAAGGACTGAATGCTTGCAATGATGTATAAATCTCCACCACAGCATCCGCTGACAGTCCCAAATCACATTAAGCACAGACTTCATAGTTAAATAAAATTAATTCCTAAAAAGCAGGCTGTAAGAAAGGAAATCAACTTTGCACAGAGACGATCTTTATTGTGTGTGTGTGTGTGGGCACGTGTGTATAGACCACGCCTGAACTCCAGCTGAGACAAACACTACCATGGCACACAGGGGACTGAAAACTGTAATTTCCAACCAAAAAAATTGTACAGTCAAAGTCTATCCTGAACCAGTAAAGCACTTTAGGAAAACACTTCTACAGAGACTCTGGAAACAATATTATTTCTTTCTATTCATGGCAGTATTTTCCCTCTAACATCTCCTCTAGCCTCTCCCAAGAGCATTACACATGCATTCAGCACAATTGGCACTGAAGATGACAGTCCAACTGCCCATTCTGCTTTTCCACTCCTGTGACACCACTTACCATCTGCTGGATCCTGTGAAAAGTTTTCCCATGGAAACTGAAGGCCTGTTCAAACAAGACCTTGTCTTCCACTGTCCACTCATCTGGGAATGGAGTAAAGTTTGGCAGATCTGCCAAAGACTTCTCGATGTTGTGCTTGTGCCAAAACAGCATCCCAAGGGCCTAGAAATAATACAGACACCAAGGGGACAATCATAATTGAAAATAATTGTAAAAAGAAACATGACTGGAAAATGGAAAGGGAAAGCTACCACATTTTTCTCAGGCAACACATTAGGTATAATTTTAATTCACAGCTACATCAGATGCTTTTCTGAGTGTGAGAAACCTGGAATCTGACCCCCACCTAGGCTGTGAAGATCAACCTGAAGTTTATCAAAAACACACAGGCAGTCACATAATAAGAGAGAAGCAACAGAAAGGTGGGAGAAGAAAACTGAAGAAATTACTCCAGCTTTACCCATCATGGTATGCATAGGAAAGCTAAGCAAAGACTTGGGAAATCTAGGTAAAAAACCAGTTTCTTGCCAGTGCTGAACTCTATTTCCCGACAATCAGAAGGACGGTTTAGTTGACTGGGAGTTCTTATGGTTGTTTAGGGGGTTCTTTCTGAGGGGGAAGGGTAAAAGGGTTAGAGGATGAGAGAAGAACTGGAAGAAGGAGCGTGCACAACCTTGACTTGCTGCTAAAATGTCCCTGGACCAAAGGAGGAATAAATCTCACTCATTTTGGGGGCTGCTCATTTGTTCCCTTGAGAGATGCCTCATTTCACTGCTGCAGTCTCTCATTCTCAGTTCCAAAGACAAAGTACATGTGCTGCGCTTCAGCACCTGCAAACCATCCTCCTCCTGCTGCCTCCGAGACACTCACACGCAGCCCCTCCCTCCCAGGGGTGCACAGTCCCTGTGTGCTATGACACATCACTGCCTCTGGCATGCCAACAACCACTGCAAGTCATTTTGGGAAAGCCTGACTCTACAGAGCTAAAAACCAGCCTTTCACAATGGCTGTGAAATGAAAGCAATCCCTAACATGCTGAGTAAAACATAAGAGTAACCTGCTCATCATATGCAAACTCAGCTCAGGTTTCGCAGCCATAGTTACCCTCTTCTAGTAGTTTCGCCCTGGCTGCTCAGTGTTACAAAATCCCTCCAAATCTGGGGTTTCCCCACTATGCTTTGCTATGCAAAAAGCAGTTCCTTTATGGGATCTTGTGCCCTTAAAATTATCAGAGAGCATGCATATAAATGTTAGTGATATCCAAGATCTTGCCCAGACCCTACTGGCCTCTCAGTGCTTCCCGGACACCCTCTCCTTCCTTCTGCCATCATGCAGAACAAGTAGTAGTCTTGGTTGCATCACAGTCACTCAAGATATCACAGGAGCCACGCAGTCACTCTGGCAAGCATGGGGCCAAAGGAACTATTTTGCAGTCATGAAGGACTGAGTTTTCTCTCCCCTGCCATCCTTTTCAGCTTCAGACACAAGCTGTACCAAATATCCCCATGAGGAAGCAAGGGAAAAACAAGGAGCAAGACATTTTGGGAGGAGGGCAGGGTATCATTAAATACTACTGAGATGCTAGCGAGGGCTGAGGGGACAGCTGCTTACACAAAGCAAAAGGTAAACAAAAAGATTTTCCTTACAGGCTTGTTTTAGCAGCAGAGCAATATTCCTCCTCCACCCCGTGCTGCCCGAGAAGAACTCTGCACTCATACACGGGTAAGTACACAGTTTTCCCAGACTCTTTTGTCCAAAGGTGTCTGACACAGGCTGGCAGGAAAACACGGCTCACAGCCAGACTTACTGTAGTGCTTCCAAAAGCCTGCGACTGCCACAGCTCAGCACAACCACCGACAGCTGTTTGCACCACCAGCTGAAGTGGGCTTGCCCTGCCGGAGCTCACTGGCCTGCAGGAGCCTGTCCTTTGCCTGCCCTCCAGCTGGCAAAGCTGCAGAGACTCTCACCAGCAAAGCCCCAAGCCTCCAACCATCATCCAACAGCAGCAGAGCCAACAGGGCACTCGGCCACAGGCAAGGGGAGAGAAAGGACAGAGCTGGGAGCTGCACATGGCACAGATGTGGCTGGTTGGGCTAGACGGGAACAACGCTGGGCAGAGGAGGGCTGGCACACACCCCAGAACCCTGCCAGCTGCTCATCACTCCCTTCAACAGACTGGCACGTCTTAGTCTGCAAAGGGAGGCTTTGGGCAGCGGGCACAGGTGGGAGAACGGGAATCTCCATGCAGTGACTGTCAGACAAGCCACCTGACCAGCTGTCAGGGGGATGTGTGTGTGGGAGAGGGCTGCCTTGGCCAGCAAAGCCCAGAGACGGTGGCCAATTGCTAAAGCAAGCTCTGACTGGCTTCCAGCTTGTCCACAGTTACTCAGCCAACTCTGATGATACCTGCTGAAGACGGAGTGTCCCTTGGTGACACAACAAATCATCCTGATTTGAAAGCCTTGACACTTGTCCCTATAATACAAAATGAATACATGCCTTCCAGAGCAACAGAAGATAGATCCTGTCCAGTTATTTGCTGGAAGTGCCTAGTGTAGTTGTCGAGGAAATCACAAAGGACCTGGGAAACATGTTTGACTCCAGAGTACTATGTGAGAGTACTACGGTAGGGATGAGAAAATTTTTAGAAGTAGGGAACTTTTACAAGTTGCTCAGCCACTTTACATCCTGGTGTGGCAAGTCCTACAACTTCTGTACACAGAAAAGAGGAAAACAGAGAAAAAGACTTCAAGGAACGAGTGGGAGGTCTGTATTTCCAACATTAAAATGAATGCAAATCTCTGCTAGCTAAATTTAAGTTTTTCAACTGACAAGAATTCAGTTGGGTTTTTTGTTGGGTTTTTTTTGTTTTTTTTTTTCAAATCACAAGCTTCATTTTGATCAGTCTTTTGTATCAGTCTATACTTTCCAAACATCACTTCTCCACTAAAATAATGAAACCCATTTCTATTACTCTGAGACCATCTCTCTTGGTAAATATTACCCACAATATCCAATATTAGGGTATACCCATATCAGCTGAAGAGAGTTACCATCTTTATGTTCATTTTAAGTTCACAGCCTTTTGAAGTCTTCATGTTCCTTTTATTGCTATTTTCTGCTCTTTGAAACTACAATTATCAAGTCTGATCATTCCTGGTTTTGCTGGAAATTTTGCTGGCTATCTCAATTTCAATGTTCTTGTTCAGCAAGAAGTCTTTTTGAGCATGAGTATCAACCACCGAAAGTCTGACTCAAAGATGACAGCAGAATCATTTAAATAGAAGCCCTTGCCCATCCAAATCATTTGTTTCTATGCTCTGCCTGAACAATTTTATAAACTTTCAAGTTTTCATAGAATCCCTTTATAGAGACAGTATGTGATTTGACAATTCAGTAAGTCACGAGATCCCCTGCCTTCCCTTTCCGGGCAAGTATTAGCGCATAAGGAAACTCCAGAGAATTCAGAAAAGTTTCCCAGGCACAGATCTACTCATGTCCCCAACAAGTGTTGAAATCAATGTTAGTTAACACAGGAAAGATTAGTACACAATCCTAGACCACAGGGAGTAAAGGGAAGATCTGCTCCTCGGATCAGGATTCCCATCCCTAGGCTACAGGTACTGGCTAATGTCAGTGACAGCTGGCAAAATCACCCACCATTACTGCACGACAAGGCAGTAGTGTTCATCTATGAAATGCAAAATGATTTGCAACACAGTTTTAAGGTAAATAACTGTGGATATTGGTTCACCTCAGAAAAGCATATGATGATTCAGTAGCTCATTAATAACTGCCAAGATATCCATGAAGCAAGAGATGGAGCAGTCAGCTGGAAACTGCAATGCAATCAGGCAGCTGTCCAAAGACAAGCCAGTCTTTTTAACATTATTTAGGGGTTCTGAAAGTGTGCAGGAGGAAGCATAACACTTATGGCCAGACTCTGTTAGAAATTACAGTGGCTTTGTTTTTTTGACTCTTCCTGTAAAACTAGGGGCTAACTCCATATCCCCAGATAAAACTACAGGTGAACTCCATATCCCCAGAACACAACTTAATGTTACTAGGAACAGTCAGTTTTGGGACAAGTAGGAGAGGAGAAAACACAGTCAGTAAAGAAGGGAAGAAGCAGTTCTAGGCAGTCACTTGAAGTCATGTTTTAATACAAGCTGGAAAATATTTTAAAATAAAGTAAGTATTCAGAGGGTTGTTACCTGCTCCATATTGTATCCATGCTTCTCTTTAGCAATGGCAATATATTCGTCCACTGAAAAGCAAAGAAGAGATGAGATCATTATATTAAATGCTCTTATATCTTTTCTTCCCTTGCCCTTCCCAGTCTAAAACCTAACACAGGACTCTGATGAACAGCTGCTGTTTTCAACAATTCAGGAAAGGAACAAAACAAAAGAAAAACAACAGTCACCAGACAAACTACTACATATTTTCTTAACAAGCCTCAATGATGCATGATATCCAATCCAGTTCTAGTACTTCTGAAACATAGCATATAATATTTCAAAATTTGTTCACCAAAACTGTAGACATAACTGTGTCAGCTATTTTTGGGGGGGTGTGTTTGTTTTGTTGTGGTTTTTTTGTTTGTTGGTTGGTGGGGATTTTTTTAATCCCCCAAAGCAGTTGTTTTCTTAAGGAAAAACATCCCCAAACAATCCATACCTTCCAATACTGCCAGACTCCTAGTGTTGCACAACCACTGCAGATATCTTGGCAAATTTTTCTACTCTTAGGCCTCAGCAATTTTCATCTTGGACCAAACCCTATCTCTATGTATTATTAGGCCCCCAAAAGCTTTTATCCTTTACAACGTGAAGACACCCTGAGCAGTTATATTTTGTATAGGTGGGACTAAACCTCAAATGTCTCTTTCACTGTGAGTGACTGAGCTTACATTATATCCAACAGCAGCCATTTGAGAGGACTGGATCAAAGTCAGTACCAGTGGTGGTGTTCTGAAATCTGTGCCCTTATGCTTGCTTATTATTAACCACACTGTAGTGACAACATCCCTGAAAATAAAAATTCAATCTAAAAGCTCAGACTCCTATTTCACCTAATGGAGTGGAAGATGCTGGAAGCACTCATTGCCTGTAGGATTCGTAATGTACTTGGAACAGATACATACAGCCAGAGTTCTCATTCTTCTACAAGTTTTAGACTTCATGATGAGTCACAATAAACTCAAAAATCATTTCCCCTTCCTTTGCTAGAGATACCCTGGGAGACATGCAAGCAAATTCCTGTACTGAGCACCAGACTCATGGAAAGCATGCATAGCACCTCCAGAAGGAAAATGGTTCCGTGCACTCTGAAGCTAAGGAAGCCATATTTCCCATGGTTTGGGCCTCATGATTCACTTCAGCTCTCAAAAATGTACTTCTACCATGTTTTCTGACTTTATGAACACTGTCATGGAATAGCATGGAATTTTTTAAAAAGTTTTTCCTTCAAGCTGTGACAGTCCTCAATTCTTCCTTCAGCTAAGCAATAAACTCAAAAGGTACTGGGAAAACAGAAAGGATAAATCAGAAAACACACAGCAGGACAGCAAAAGCCTGTTATTTTCAGCTTGTCATTAATAATAAGTATTTAAATCTAGGTACTTAAAGTAAACAGCCCATCTTTAGACTACTCAGTATGACATGTGGTACCAATGCCAGACCTTCATATGGAAAGGAGAAGCATTTGTTAGTTTTCACAGAGGCATTGCAAAAGAGGGCTTTGTTTAGTGCCATGGAAAAGTCTGTGAGAATATTAATACAGCCACACGTTGTGGCAGAAAAGCATACAATAAACACAGGCACAGTTACACATTAGCAAGGGGACTCTATGAGGTTTTTGCTCTTCCAAGCTCCCACCTGTACACAATGGCAACTACCAATGGGCTGATGAACCTGTTTGTTGGTCCATGTTCTGGATACTTTCAGTAAAAGCTTTATTAGCCCTTTGGAAAAAGGTGCAGCGACAACCATTCATTTGCACTGCTGCAGCACAAACATGTGTGTCTGTCCAAGTGAAATTGTTTCTAAGGACCGTGCTGAACTGGGATGAAAACCATCCCTTCTCACAAACAACCTTTTCTTGCACAAGGCAAACACTGTAAAATAATTGAAAAGGCAGTGGAGGTGAGTGGGACAATGACAAAAACTTCCTAGGCTGAATTCGCTGCATTGCCTAACAGAATATCCTGAGGGCAATCAAAGGCTAGTACAAACCTCGAAAATCAGCTTTGCCATGGGGAAAAAAAAAACAAACTTGCAAAACCACATCCCAAGGGGAGAACATGGTCCAGGAGGGCCACACAGGGTAAGCAGGGACAGAGAAGGGATACACACCATCCCTTCCCTATACATGCCAAACAGGGCAGGGAACATCAGTAAGATGTGGGCAAAAGAACAACTTTAGGTGCTTCCAGTTATAGATAGTTATAAAACCACACCAAAAAAAAAGCTGCCAGGAAACCCTACATGCAGCATTTCCCTGTACTTCAGTTAAATGTTCTCAGTTTCCTTAAAACAGATACTGCACATGCAGTGTTATACATTTTGTCTAAGAAGGAGGTGAAGGAAGAAGGGAAAGGAGCTGAATTCTCTGAAGTCCAAGGCTGAATTAAGCTCCTGAATGCTAAGTACTGCTGCATTAAGTACCTTGCTTTCACTGTGGAAAGATCTACAGTTCCTCATTTGACTTCAGCATCTTATCCTTTAAATATATACAGAGAGAAGATGAGGTCGTTCTCCTTTCCAGTGTATTACCTTCCTTATGCCAGATGCTGTAAGTAATGAAAACACACTTGCTTCCCAGCCCCCCAAAAAATCATTACAGCATTTTCTCTCCTAACTGAGCAAGAATATTAGCAAGGTCCCCAAATATCAGTAGGATTTCTCTTCAAACAAGTCAATACATCACTGAGCCAAACAGTAGATTATGAGTGACTGGACACCATGAAAGGAAGCAAGATGCTTTTCCTGTCACAGTAGGTTCTGTAACACATCAGTATTACACCTCATTGTTACAGTGAAGAGAAAAGAAAATAAGAAAAAGGCAATAAGGCAGTAAATATGACCATGAGCAAACAGCAATGTTCCTTTTATACACCAGAAGAGTTTGTGGGTGAAGGAAGGACAAGGAGTACACAATTGTACTCTTCTCTTGGCCTGTTTCCTGCCCACTTACTGACAATCTAGCCCATTCTGCTTGTCATTTTGTGGCTAATTGTGGGCTCACTTGCTTTGATGCTTGCACCATCTGAGAGGTATGACAGCCCCTTAAGCAATCCTTCCGTTTGCTCTTTCTTTACCATCCCCCTCCATATGAAGTAAGCAAGGAAGAGCAGAGCACCATTTGAGTCACAGGATCCCTTTAGTCTCCCATACCAGTAGAGCCTGGAATTGCCACAAGCTTAATGCTTTACATGCCACACCAGATAAATAAGTGCCCTCTTCCATCTCTGCCTTCCCCACACAACTCTAGCAAGCACAGGGCAGCGGGCACGTGAAATTCTGCTCCACTGCATTTCAGTGGCATTCAGTCACGCTCAGCGTGTAACCCAGCAATCTGTTTAAACATCACAGTTCAGAGCCAGAGAAGCCTGGGGCAGAGCTCTACTTACACCAGAAGAGACAGTTTGCCAGCACAGCTCTTCAGTGCTTTCCAGAAGAGAATAAGCAAGAGCAGCAGAGCATTCCCATCCCATTTCCCCAGAATAAAATACACCACCACACATTCTTTCTACCAGCGTAACTTTTCCCCAAACAGGGCAGACAGGAGTATCCTTCCCTCCCATCCAACTCATTCCCCTATGCCAGAAAGATATTTCAACAGACCAGACCAAAAATACAATGATACTTGAATAGAAACAGTCGTGTGACACAGGAGATGCATTGCTCCTGTGAAGGCTCTTGTTGCTACTAGAAACCAGATGGGGGGAGGGACAGAAAAGAGAACCATAAACTGTTATTTCTTTACCTACTTGGCTACATATCTTCTCTTGCATACATTTTAGCTGTGTGGGTGAGCAGGATCCCCCTGTCCACCCCACACCCAAAATGGAGGGAGCGCTGGCCCCTTTCGTACAGCCAGTCATGCTCAGGAAGGCAGAAGCAGCACAAAAGGCAGGGACACAGAGGGAACAGAGCCTCACATACACAGTCACCAGCAAAGAGGGGCACAGAGTACTCAAATGCTAACACACACCTCTCCCAAATACAACGAGATGACCGAAGGACCCTGCGTATAGCACTAACACAGCCAAAGAGATAAGGGAAATTGAAGAGAGTGGGAAAGAAAGCAGAGAAAGATGTTTCCACTCCCTGTCATCCAGAGAGGAGAGTTTGACCAAAATGGTGCCATCAACCCTCTGAATTTTGTGTTCTTGTTTCCAGCCATCTTTCTCATAAACACTTTTCTTCTGCTAACCATCTCCCTGAAAGAATTCCTCACTAGAGGAAAAGAAAGGGGACCCTCTTGGCTGACAGAGGGAAGGAGGAACAAGAGCAAACAACTGCATTGCTGATTTTCAGTCCCGCATCCTTGAACAGAGAATCGAGAGATGTAAAACAAGAGCATTAATTTCAGGGGGGCAGGAGAACTCTGAAAAGAAAAACGCCTGAAAATAACGACTCCCCTGTGCACCATTTGATCACATTACGATCTCTCCAAGTGGATCTTTCTGAAGAATTTCTCCCCCCTACCCAAATTGCTTCTTAATGACCCCACAAGGATCACATCATGTTCAGTGGACTCAATGACCCCAAGGAGAGTTTGCAGCATAAGTGAGTGTGCTAAAGCCTATAGAAAGTAACAGGAATGCAGAGGTAGGGCTGTTGCTGCAACCTCAGTTCACCCCTATTACTAGGGTACTGCAGGAGCTCTGAACACTTTGCATATTACGTGATGCAATACCCTGACAGAACGAGGTGAAATGAGGACAAAAGCAGCATCCTTCACAGCCTCAGTAATGTGCTTCACAGGGTTTGATCAATGTTGGAACCTGCAAGGAATTCTGGATGTTGCTATACATCTCCCCCTCCCCTCCATCTCCCCTGAGAACACGGGGAAAAAAAATAAATAAAAAAAAGGAAAAAAGTCAAGACCCAAAACAAATCAATACTATATAAAGAAAATAAGGACATGTAGACATACAGGTGAAATTTTTCGAAATTTCAAAACACAATTATGATGGTATACAAACAACTAAGCACAGTTTTCGCCTTGACTATAAAAAACGAGCAGCTGCATTGCTGT